AAACTGAAGGCTTAGGGGACCCTGGGGGGGGGTTCGTGAGGGGGGTGGGGGGTGGCACAAGGCCTCAAGTCCAATGGCTCTGTGAACACCTCCAACCCCTGTCCTTTAGAGACAAGAGTAAAACAGTCATAGAGCCAGGGATCACTCCTTCTATCTCCCTGTCTCCACCTATTAAGTGACACCTATTAAGATGACAGGCTTGTGCCGCCACGCACAGTTGACGTAGCACTGGGATTGAGCCACGCACGTGCTCTAGCCGAGGTGCCACATCCCCAGCCCAAACTTTGATTGACTGCATGTTTTCAAAACCTACTTATTTTTTAAAGTATGTATATAATCTGGTGTGGGTACATGTGTATGTGGATATGTACACGTGAGCGTGAGTGCCTGCAGAGGTTAAGGAACAGGATCTCTCAGGAGCTGGGGTTACAGGCAGGTGTGAGCTGGCCCACATGGGTGCTGGGAACCAAGTGGGATCCTCTTGCAAGAGCAGGAGGCCATCTTAACCAGTGGGCCATCTTGTCAGTCCTGTTTTGTTGTTTTTTTGAGATTGGGTTTTACCGTGGCTTTCCTGGAGCTCACGTGTAGACCAGGCTGGCCTTGAACTCACAGAGATCTGCCTGCACTATGCCTATTGAGCTTTAGATTTTCAGTTCAGAAGATGTGGGTTGTTGTTTGATGTGATCAATCTAGAACCACGAATGCTCAAGACTGTAATCCCAACACAGGGGAATCGAGGCAGGAGGATTATAGCCTGGCTACAGTGTGAGACTATCTCAAAAATCTAAATAAAAATAACGGTAACAAGCAATCATCAGACTGTCGTGCATATCTGTAATCTCCCCCCCACCCCCAAGCAGGGTTTCTCTGTGTCCAGGACTCACTCTGAAGACCAGGCTGTGATCTTTGTATTCAGGAAGCAGAGGCAGATAGACTGCCATAAATTCAAGGCCATTCTGATCTACACAGCATGTTCCAGGCCAGCCAGGGCCTTACGGCAAGACCCTGCTTTGACACACAGATAACAAGCAAGGAAACAGAAGTGTATGGACAGACAGTGAGGGGTGTAGTGGCAGAGAAAAGAGAAATAGCAGGCCCCAGGGGGTTTGGAGGGGAGGGGAGGGGAGAGGAGTGGAAGGGAGGGGAGGAGGAAATGCAGTGGTTGTACCCTGCATTCTCCAGACCTGGCCACAGGAGGAAGCACCCACCTTTGAGGACGAAGCCTGAGTCTGAGATAGTCTTCTGCTGGGTCCTCCACACGCGTGCCAGGTGAAGGAAAGCGGCTGCATAGAAGCTGTTCACCACCGGGATGACCTTCTGCCTCCGGTTACATTCCCTACAGGACACAAGAGGTGACCTGCTCAGTCACAGATGAACTGCTTCCCAACCTACCCAGTCAGGTCACCCCACCCCACCATTCCCCAAGCAGCCTGGGTCAGGTTCGGGAGGTGAGGTGGCTGGTGCATGGGGATTGTCCAGATGGGAGAGCCAG